GTCTGAGCCTTCCCCACCCTCCAGGACTGGTCCATGTTCCTCCCCAATTTCCTCACTGTCCAACTCTGCTACCAGCTTCGCTGGCTGCTGGCAGGCCACAACACAGCCTTCCATCCTTCTGAGGTGGGTAAAATGAGGACCCAGATTGTTGGGGGCAATATGCTGACTCTGTAAACCACTTAGAGAGGGCTGTAAAGCACTGTGAAGAGGTATACAAGTCTAAGTGCTATTGCTATTATCTGAGCTAACATTTCTAGTTTCAGAGAACAAATTCAAACTAATTCAATATTATTTCTTGGCTTGAAATGTTCATATTTTAAACAAATATAATTTCTCTCACATTTAGATTTTGAAGAATAAAAATTTATTGAAAACTATTTTCTTAAAAGTTGGGTCCATGAATGGTTCTATTCTAAACACAGCTATCTGCTAATTTTTCATTTAATATATATGAATATTTTGATTGAAATTCAGATAATTTAAATTTATACATTGTTTCATAAAAGTGGAAAATATTTTATTACAATCAAATCACCTATTTTGTTTTTGGTGATAGACCTCCCGGCAGTAATAATTTAAGTTACTCAAGAGAATATTATTGTAGACATAATATTTACAGATTATCACTTTGAATAAGAAATGCAGAGAATTGTTGATCTTTGAATGGCTCAGGTTATCTGCTGCATTCTGGCAATTACAATGTATTAATTTCCTGTGTCTTTCATAATTTTGTTGTTCTCTCCAAGTAATGTTAAAGTAATGTATAATTAACTATAACCATTAAACTGGAAAAGTAATAATAACCTAAAGTTCGTTGGAATGTAAAGTTGAGATTTAAAATTGGCTTTCATACCATAGTCCCTTCCCTTCTCTATTTTCTGTTTAATCTTCCCACAGACATTTAGAATTGCCATTACTTGAAAAAAAGGCAAGTCTTAAAGTAGCGAACATTCAAGCTAGAGCTAGAGAAAAAATTACTGTTATAACAAGTAAATTTAGACATAGTTCCGTATTTCATATTTAGGTTATAAATAAATACAGTTAAACGTGAAAGTAAGTTTTAACTTCGTAGTTCACAATATATTTGTTACAGTAAGATTTAAAAAGAAACTTAAAATGCTTTTATTAGGATGCAGGAGGCAGTCATCACAAAGTTTCCGTTTCTCCTGTGGTCCATGTCCGTGGTCTTTGTGAGTCAGTTGTGGAGGCAGACCTTGTGGAAGCTCTTGAAAAATTTGGTACCATATGGTAGGTTTAATGGGGTTTTTTTAAAGTTATGATAGAAAACTGCATTTTGCTGTGGCTGTATATATATATAAAAGGATAAGACATTTTTTTATATCTTGTTGACATGATCTAGTCAAGCTGTTAAATAAAGATCGTCGTATTTATGGTATAATATTATCCATAGACCAGGTCAATAGAGTTGAATGATAAAGCTATGATTAATGATTTCCAAATAATCTACAAAATCAAGGCATGTTTGGATATAATGTAAAACTGAGGAACATGTCACCTACTGAATTATTTTTCTAAATTGAATAAAGAACAAAATGTTTAGGAGGATTCTTCATAGGCTACTTATAGTTAAGAGGTATTTGAAAGATATAATTTAAATTTAATAGTTTATGTTATACTCAAAGTTGTCATTGACTTTAAGAAATGAAATTGCCTTTTTTGTGCATTT